CGTGTGTGATGTGTTTTCAGTGTGTCGCAACCGCGCACAACAGTTTGAACTTGAGTCCAAGGCGCTGCAGCAGAAGCTATCGAGTGCACACGCGCAGCTGGAACAGGCGCATACAAAGGAATCGGAGATGAAGGTGTTGTTGGTGTTGCTGTTGTGTGTAAGTCGATGACCGCGCCTCAGAGAAGTTACTGCCTTGAGCCGCTTGCGCAAACATATTTCCTCTCCGTTTCCCACCACCCACTCCCACACCCCCACAACACACACCACCATGCCCTGCTTGTCCATGTGCGCAGGCTTCGGTGTCTGCGCTTGAGAGCCGGGCAGCGGCGCTGGAGCGGCAGTGCCAGTACCTGCGGTCTGAGCGAGACAAGGTGCAGGACCTGAGCATGAAGATGGTGGAACACCAAGAGAGCTTTTCCAAGGCCACCGCGGAGCAGAAGGTGTCAAAGCACCTCAAGGAGTACCAGGTCAGTTCCTCTCAATATGCTGCTGCAATAAACAGCCTTCTGTCCTTTTGCACGTCATGCACGTTTGGCCCCAACTGTCTGTGTGCGTGTGTGTGTGCATGTGTGCGTGTGTGTGTGTGTGCATGTGTGCGTGTGTGTGTGTGTGTGCACGTGTGTGTGTGCATGTGTGTGTGTGTGAGTGGGCGCGCCTTGGTAATCACGCTTATTTGTGTCCCACGTTGGTTTGTAGGAGCACCACAAGAAGCTCGAAGCGGAGATGCTGCGACTGCAGGGAACCCTGGCGGTGCGTCTCGCTGCTCACGGTCTTGTGTTTTTTTTTTTTTTTCCTGCTCGAGCCCTTGCATGCATCTTCTGCGCTGATGTGGCCATGCTCATTCTCCGCTCCTCTGCCTCCGCCTCCACTTCCACCGCCACCCCTTCTCCCCCCCCCCCCCTACTGTTCGTCTTCCCGGGCATCGCACCACACATCCGCAGGAGCGCGAGAAGGAGCTTGAGCGCCTGAAACGCGAGCGCGACAGCGCAATGAACACGGATGCTGACGAACGTGAGAGACCCCCAATTGATGCTTTGCTCTGCGTGCATGGCTGCCCTGCTTGGCGCTTGCCTTGCACCTGCCTGCTACCTCGGGACCAACTCTCATGTGCACTGAGATTAACCTCCAAACAGCAGCAACAGCAGCCGGAGAAACTGTTGATCCGCGCCGTACGAAAATCCTGCACCTCAAGTCAAACCCCATCGCATGGTAAAACTGCTCGGAGCATCTGTGGCGGATGTGTTTTTGCTCCGTTGCACGTGCGATGCTGCAGAACCCTTCCCAAACACACACACACACACACACACACACACACACACACAGGCAGACCACCACCACCACCAACAACAACAACAACAACAACAATACACGCGCGCGCACCAAGCCCCCCCCCCCCATGCAATAACGAGTTGCTCACCAGTGACGGCAACACCGGCGCTTTGCTCATAGGGCGGAGGAAGCGCGCAAGACGGAGATCTCGCGGTTGAAGCAGGAGCGCGACCACCTGCGTGAACAGCTCGCAAAGGGTGCAGCATCGACAGCAGGTGCCTTGTTGGTCTCACGGAGCAAGGGTGACGGGGCTCATTCCATGCAACTTGCAGGCTGTCCATTCCATACCTGTTCATGTTGCTCCACTGTTCCCACACACTCATATGTGTGTGTGTGTGTGTGTGTGTTGAAAGGGTCTGTTGTGGATCCAAAACTGCAGGATCGCGTGAAAGAGCTCGAGCGCGAAGTGGAACAGCGCGATATTCGCCTCAAGCGCCTCAAAGAGGTCAGCATGTGCTTGTGTGTGTGTGTGTGTGTGTGTGTGTGTGTGTGCGTGTGTGTGTGTGTGTGTGTGTGTGTGTGTGTGCGTGTGTGTGTGTGTGTGTGCGTGATCGCTTTGGCATCTCTGCAATGTGACTTCGCCTTTGCCATTTTGCTCGCGCGTAGCACAGCTGACTGCACCCCTCCGTTTCCGCCATGCGTGCGCACGGGTTTCCTGACGATCAACTCAGGTGTTCAACAACAACGTGCGCGAGTTCCGCGAAGCGTGCTACGAGCTGCTGGGCTACCAGATTGACGTGGTACAAGCCTCAAGGTACCGGCTGCACTCGATGTACGCGGAGTCCGCCGATGACTATCTCCTCTTTGCTTCGTCTCCGCAAGGGCTGCAACTCCTTGAAACGCAATTCTCCGCATCGCTGGATGAGCGCATTCTTGCGAATCTGCACCGTTTCCACTCCATTCCCGCCTTTCTCTCCGCAATCACAGTTGACCTCTTCAGCAAATCCACAATGGCTTGAGTTGTGCCTGTGTGTCTGTGTAACTGTGTGTGTATGTGTCTGTGTAACCGTGCGTGTCTGTGTGGATGTGTGTCTGTGTAACTGTGTGTGTCTGTGTGTGTCTGTGTGTGTGTGCTGAAGACGGGATGGGCACTGCGTGATAGTTTGAGGCAGCAGAAATACACAATCAAGGTTGTCCGATGCTGTTTATTGCTGGGCATGAGAGGTCCAAT